TTCCACTTGGCAGTATAATTATAAATCTGAAATCTAAATTCAATAAAACAATTTACATAGTTTCCAATTTAAGATCGAATAACAAAATACTGTCACCATAAGAGTTTTGGTAATGTGTCGTGATAAATTTTCAATGTAATTGAGCCAAAAATGTAATATAATACAAATGGGTAGGAAATCAAATTCCCCCACTGTAACCCAAACCCATAACCTATCACTTTCTACTTATAGAAAGCGAAAATGTCAATATTTGTACATTTAACGAGCTCTTGGAATTCCACTGACCTATATTTGTTGACTAAATTGATATTTTTGTTGGTATGTCAGTTATATGTTGTCAACATTTTGTAGTCATATAAAAGAATTGAATCTAATATAACAACATGCAAACAGCTTTGACTAAACTATCGCATAACGGTTGTGCGATTGTCTATTGTTTAGCCAATTAAACTGTTAAATACAACTAAAAAGTAGTGTAACCTCCATATATCATATTATATTAGGCTTGTTGATTCACAAATCAAACCGAGACTAAACAGTTGTGCAATAGTTTAGTTTGAGGTGTGCGCATGCTCTATGAAAAACTAACTCGCTTTTATTCAGTAATTTCGCAAAGTTCCTTTGTTCAATGAATTTTGTAACTTGAAATTCGTTTGTTTTGCTTTTAATTCTTGAACTATCGTAAAACAGGTTTCGTATCTGTATAAATATTTATTTAAACCAACCGGTTCTAAATTCCATTCATATTTAGTTGCGTACAACCTATACATAACCTATAAAATAACAAAGATTAACGTATAATAGAGTCGATGTTCGAAACGTCATTTTGAAAACATCTCTGTGAGAATTTAACCTAACAAAATACCTTTTGTCTCTTGTAAGTATCATACTTATTACTATCTTAATTTTTATTTTAATATTGTAAATGCGAAAGTTTTGATTTATTTTGAAACATTTAGAGTTTGCAGTTAAAAATCTCTGAACGTATCATTAAAAGGCATAGATAAGATAGTCTAGAACTGTAGAAGAGCCCATATGTAACTTAATATTGTTGGTTTTTTAATTTAAGGTTATATTTACATACATAGTTAGGTTATAATATTGAGAATTCTCAGGTATATCTAAATGCGGTTACCAACTTCAATAGATTTTCTTACACTATTCACTAATAAATGTTATTTTTGACCGACTTCCCAAAAGGAGGTACTCAATTCGTCTGTATGTTTTTTATGTGTGTTACGGTATAACTCCGCCGCTAGTTGACCGATTTTGATAATTCTTTTTTTATCATTTGTTTGATTTTTAATGTCAAAGACTACGGCGTAGTTAAATAGTTTAGCTCAAAATCTCGTGACGTAATTTGGGATCTTTTTTCCCTTTTTAGCTATAAAACTATAAATATATGTTTTGAATGCAGTGTGTAGCATTAAAATTAACGGCCCATACAAAACTCCCCGATATCATAAATCTATTTATTGTCGAACAAAGATCCCCAGCAGTAAAGCCTATCAGACCCCACGGTAGATAAAATTAGTGAAGTATTGTTGATTGAAGAAATATTACGATTGGCAGAAACTTGTTCTGTGCCTTTGCGTTATATTTTTAAAAAGTTACAATGACGTTTTAACTTTGTAAGTAATTCAATTTTAAAGGAATATTTTATTATAATCATTGCTGATGATTGACTTAAAATCAAATTAAAAAAAAAATAGATTCATTAACGACTAGTTGTGCCTGTACGGCTTTATCCGAATGTAAAATAAAAACTTCATTTTATTGTTTACATTTGTCAAATTCTCAATTGCAAATGTCAAAATTACAGTTACCATAATAATCTTGCTTCCCTAATGTTGGCAGCTTGTAGCTTATGGCCCTTTTTCCATATATTAATATAGAAAATGTAATGTGTTTACATTTGGTATTACTGATCAAGCTATCTCTTTCTAACAGTACATCTAAAAGAGATATTTGATATGGTCTTCACCAATTATATTCAATTCACATCTTCCTGCATACTTCATCCAAATAAATCCTCAATTATGATCCCATTAAGGGCCAATGCCATACTTAGTAGTGTTACTTGATTAGACAAATAGTTGAGGGCTTAAGGTTACATTATATTAGGCTTGTTGCTCAACCAGTGTAATTTGGACCACCATTGGACCGTATCGACCTTGTATCAATAGTGTGGGATGTACTTTATTTAGTGTTGCCATGTTGGTAACATTTAGAAAATATTTTGAAGCTTGTAAGGATAAAGGTGGAAAGTTACAATTTATGTATTCCGTTTATAAAATAGATTTAATAATAGAAGCGTTTTTAATTAAAACAAACGGAATGTTATTTATTTATTATAGCATTTGGTAGTGAAATATAAAATTACAAACTAAAATTATTAACATCTAAAAAAAGTAACAACTTTTCACTCTTGTTCGCTGGCTTCTTTTTAACAATTGCTATCAAATTATACTAACTTTATACATAACCTCTTACTTGCCAGACATTCGGTAAACTACGATAAGGAAAATGTTTCGCAATTCCAACATTCTTATCGAATAGTTCTGGTTCGTTCGGGTCGAACTATCAATTTTATTAGCTACAAGCAATATTATCTGAGTGGGTTTCTTTGTAAGGGCTATTTGTAAAGATTGTAGAATGTGAGCTTCAGTTTGATTTAAATATTCAGTTTTTAATCTTTGATAGACCACCGACAATATTATGTTATGGTTTTTAATCTATGACAAAATTCAAATGTTTGACTTTTGACGTTCCGTTATTCATTAATCAACTTCAATTTCATGGTGTTTCTATGAAATACGTTTAATTTGACGCTTAATTTTCCGGATAATTCTTAAATAAAAGAAATCAATTCATTTCATTTACTTCCCCATTTATTTAATTTAAAAATGTCAAAATTCCCCGCCATTTTGTATCATAGACTAAAATGTCATCTGCGACCATTTCGTTTTCTCCGTCACACTGTTAGTACAGATTCTTAAAGTCGTTACATTACCAAAGATCAAAAGAACCACGGAAGGAAGCTGGGATAAGTCAATAAATTCTTGAGTTTATTTTTAAAACACCAGCCGTACCATAAGTACGCATTTCCTGGTTCGATAGATGGATTATTATAGAACGGGCACGTATGGTTTTTATTACTCTAATCAATACTGACCGAATAGTATAGTTTGTTTTGCAACTTTATGGCTATGCCTTTTATTACATAATGAAACCTATTTTTTTTGTATAATATATGATGGCAAACGAGCAAGCGGCCACCTGAATCCACCGAAATGGAAAGCGACCGCTGCCCATAAACATCCGCTATTGCAGATGCGTTGCCTACCCTTCATTAACGGAGAAGGAGACGC